CTTAGAAAAATCCGAGAGTAAATTATATGAGATGCGAAATGGCCTTGTGTATAGAAAGTATAAAAAGGATTTATTGTTTTATGTTCCTACAGTAATGGAAGACATTATTATTCGTAAATATCACGAAGAGATGGGACATTTTGGCGTGGAGAGGACAGTTTCTACTATCATGCATAACTATTGGTTTCCAAATCTTATAGTAGACAAAAAACTGAAAAGTACATTCGAAACTGTTTGAAATGTCTTGCTTATTCTCCTACTACCGGGCGTCGCGAAGATTTATTACATACTATTCCTAAAGGCTGTTTACCGTTTGATACAGTAAATATAGACCATTATGGCCCAGTTGATAAAAGGCATAAAGTAAAACAATATATTCTTACCGTTATTGATGGTTTCACCAAGTATGTCAAGTTTTATGCAACAAAATCTCTAGCCAGTTCCGAAGTTATACAATGTTTAACAGATTATTTTAGAAATTATAGTAGGCCTCGTGTAATTGTATCCGATCGAGGAACCGCTTTTACTGCTCAAGAGTTCCAAACATTTTTAACAGATCATAATATCCAGCACATTTTAGTTGCTACTGGATCACCTCAAGCGAATGGGCAAACGGAAAGAGTTCATAGAACATTGACGCCTGTTCGGGAAGGTTCTAGAATATTCGCTGGACGAGAAGTATTTTTTAGAGATGAGATTCACGAGCTTTTGTCACATGTATATTTCGCTCTACTTTACAAACCACAATAAATTACAGATGAAAATCTTGCACGACTGTTGCCTTTGGTTCACCGAGAACGTGAAATCGGCTTTCAATTCGCACGAGAAACAGGACGTGGTATCGCAACGAAAAACAGCGGAGAAAGGCCCCGCGATTCTGTCGGTTGCTGCTTTTATGATGAAGCAGGATCCTTTGTTCCTCCGACGATCACCAATGATTTATCGCCAATTCGAACATTTTGAGGTGACCCCCGGGCTCCTGGCGTGATTGGTAGTCACAGGGCCCGGGAAGACACCTCGCGCATTGAACATGCGCGGAGCGCGCGTTCGCGTGGCTCATTGGAGATCGGCGGACGGAACGACGGATCACGCACGGCAACGTATATACAGAATAACACAGAATTATATTTTGCTGACATGGGCTTTTGTGTAGGGTCACGGTGAGTTGGTTGTCGATACAAACACTCACTCCGCAAGAGTGTTCTAGACCATTACGCGAAGCCCATATCAGCAAAATCCAGAAAAGAATCCGAAATGAACATAATGTTAATAATCGCATTCTAACGCGCATATGCATTAACGCGTCACCCCGAACAACGCCCATGCTAGCGAAATTAACTGACGATCAGAATAAGAGATATTGGTATCACGTACTCCCTGACGTGGAATTTGCATTAAATAATACCGTAAATAAGAGTACGGGAAAATCTCCAAGCACTTTTGTTTGGATGCAGACAACGTGGCAATGTTATAGATCAGCTCGCTGATTACATGGAGCAATTACGGGATTCTAGCAATAGGAATTTAGATTTAATTAGGACTAACGCAGCTAATAAGATAAAAAAGGCTCAGCAGCAAGACGAAACACGTGTTAATAAAAACAGAAAACAGGCTCACGAGTATAACATAGGAGATCTTGTATTAATACGAAATTTTGATAGTACACCTGGCGTATCTAAAAAATTAATACCAAAGTTTAAAGGACCTTACAAAGTCACCAAATGTTTGCGGAATAATCACTGTGTGATTGCGGATGTTGAAGGTTTTCAAAACACTCGTAAACCTTATGTAGGAGTCTGGGAGGCTCATAATATGCGACCGTGGATTCAAGTCCAAAATTAAACTATTACTTTTATATGATTAGCTATAAGTACATTTGTTTGCGTAGATATAAGTTTTTTTAAGGAATATATATAATTAGCTATAAGTATATTTGCTTGCGTAGAGATAAGTTTATCGTTAAGAAGTATATATATTTTTGTTAGTATTAGTTTGTATTATTTCTGTTTTGGTAAGTCCGAGGACGGACTAAGGTCAGGTATGGCCGAAAGCTGTAAGACATTTTACATATACGTTTAAGTTAGGCGCGTTCCGAGCGGTTGCTAGGTAGATTGTCCCATGTTTAGATGCGCGACGGTGCTGCGTAGCGAGAGAGAGAGACGAGACGATTCCTGCCGAGCAGCGGGGCGGGGAGAAGAGAACCGATCCTCGTGTCGAGCAGTCAAGTACGATAAGCCTCTGCGTTGCATAGTGTGAACCTTAAGCAATTTTTGGGCCTGTGTTCGGCCACAGGTTACGACCTGTATCCGCCGTGTATGATCGGAAATACATCCACATACCACATCGGAAACCTGACTACAATTAATTACAACCTAACAGAATTTTTCCAGGACAGTCCCGGAAATCATTGTCCTGGAAGCTGCCATTATGCAAATGTCTTGGAAACCCTTAAAAACGTAATATCTCAAGAACAGAAAGAAATATTTAATTAAATGAGATCAAAATAAGTTTGAACAATAATACTTTATTACAATGCAGCAAAAAATTACGACATGTTTTAATGTCCTGGAACAGACCTCTTGACATACAGGGTGAGTCACAACATTTCTGCCAGAGCTCGTTAGAAGGTAGAACGGATCGAGATGAACAGAAAAGTCCTGTACCATTTGCAATTTCCGCAATAGTTAACGAGTAATTAATTATCAAAAATCGTCGTCTTTACCCTGCCCACTGTCCAATTCGAGCGCGTGGCGAGATGTGACCGCCCGGCGATCGATATTGCCAGGCGCGGAGGGGGACAGCGCGCCGTTGCCGGCGAGCTTACGTCGCCGCTCCCGCGTCTCGCGTCCCCACCCCTCGCCTGGCATCCACGGATGTATGTACATTGTATGTATGTACATATTTCACGTGTGGAACAGAGACTTTCAAGACCTACTCGGTACTCGTGAGGATCAGTCAGTCCTTAATTCACAATTCTTTCACAATTCCAACTTTTCTTCTTTCTCCTTCGAAACATTTTCTAAAATATGGCTTATTACAGTTACAACGAAGTTGTAGATATTTTACTTTCACTTGGCGAGTCTCGTCAAAATTATCGTCAAGCAGCTGCATTGTATTGTCAAAAATTTCCCAACAGACATCATCCTACTGGTCAACAAATAAGACGCATCGAATTGCGAGAACGACTAGTTGTTCGACAAAGAGTCAGAAGACGTCGCACTGCTGATAACGATAATGACGACCCCCGAGTTCAACGTGTGCTCACTGCAGTTGGATTAGACCCTCATATTTCTACTCGCCAAATTGAAAGATTGACAGGATTGCCACATCCTACAGTGTGGAGAATTTTAAAGAGGCATAGGTTTCATCCGTATCATATTACCCTTACTCAACAGTTAAGTGAAAATGATATGGTGTTGAGAATTCAATTTTGTGAATGGGCTTTGGAAAGGATACGGATAAACCAAAATTTTTTTACTTTGTAATGTTTACCGATGAAGCTATGTTCCATCATAACGGCCAATTAAATAGGCACAATTCACATTATTGGTCGCCTATAAATCCTCATTGGACTCACATGGTTGACAATCAACGCAGGTGGACTCTTCATGTATGGTGTGGAATAATTAATGGATATTTGATAGGACCTTACTTTTTTTAAGACAATTTAAACAGTGCAAGATACCTTTCATTTTTGCAAAACGAATTACCAGGTCTTTTAGAAGAGGTTGATATCAATACTCGTCAAAGAATGTAGTGGCAACAAGATGGAGCACCGCCTCACTCGGCTGGAATAGTCACCACTTACCTTAATCAAGTGTACCATGAAAAATGGATAGGCAGATTCGGCCCTACAAAGTGGCCTCCACGTTCTCCAGATTTAACTTCACCAGATTTTTACTTGTGGGGTTATTTGAAAAATGTAATATACAAAGAAGCTCCGACAACTCGAGAGGATATGAAAAACAGAATAAAAAGAGCCTGCAATAATATTCCTCGGCGAGTTTTGTTATCTACCATTATAAATTTTCAGAAACGGCTCCGTTTACAACAGAATGGTAGTGTATTCGAACATTTATTAAATGGATAAATTAAAAAATTAGCGCTTCTAAGCCTAGTGCTCGTCACATGCACACACGTACACACATGATCGGCAAGAATTGTATTTCGCGCCTCTTCCGAAGAGATCACCCGGTAGTACCCCCCTCTCCATGCCGATGTCGCCACAAGTTAATAGTAAAATTAGACTTTTCACCCGCCTTTATGGCGCTCTCGCGACGAGCCTCATGCTTCATTCTTTCTCTTTGTGCCGTACAGGTCGCATTTATTTTCTGAACATAAAGATGGGAAAGAAGAAACGTTCTTATTCAGAAGAAAGAAAGGAGAATCGCTGGGAGAAACGATTCCGACGTTTAGAAAAGCGATTAGAGGAACAGAACCTGTTACTAAAAAATATTAATCACAGTAAGTAGTTTTGGTTATGTTACAGGCTCATAGGAAGAAGGCCACGCAGGTTAGGCCGTGGCGCGAGAATTACCCGTGTATCGGTCAAACCGATACGCGGTTCGCATAAGACCTCACGGGCAGGTTGGACCTGCAGGTCTCGGATTAGGCCCGAGGAGGCAGCGGCTCGCATTAGCCTCACGCGTGCAGGTTAGGCCTGCGCGTCTCGGATTAGGTCCGAGGAGGCAGCAACTCGTAGAGTTGCGCGAGAACAGGGACATAAGCCTCACGCACAAGTTAGGCCTGTGCGTCTCGGATTAGGT